CGAGCCTACAGACTTGAGGGTAACACTAAGTGAATAAAACTGATGGTCAAAGGAAAACTATAGATCTCAGAAAGGTACACGAAATATTTGAAAATACATCAGTAGGGAAATATTACAATTAGCGTATGAACATGAGCTCTAAACTTATATATAATTCCTTTTTTACATAAAGTCACATTTTGCATAAAATTCTGAAAACGTCATCAACTCTTCCAGTACGCTATTAAAACCCGTCTGAAAGGTGCACGATATAAAATAGTTTACCAGTATGGAAATTTTACATTCTTTAAAACCTACAAGTACATAAAAATGAGCCAGAAATTTCCTGCACAATTGAGAAGACTAATACTCAACCATAAGAAAACTATGTCAAAGGATTGCGACATACTTTTATTTATTTCTTTCTTGCGATAAAACAGGAGTTCGTTTCTTAGTCGATGTGGATGCGTCTAGTGGTTTAAAGAAATGGCCTCTTTCCATTTCAAGAAGGGCATCCTCATGAATAATGTAAAGAAACATAGCTGCTTCATTTTAGAGACGGTGGAGGAAGAGCATTACTGAAGTGTCATAAATTTATTAGGCTATATTTCAAAGAAAGAAAGAGTAAATTTTAGGGATATATAACTTACAGATTTCGCATGATGTTCTTGTAAAAACAATTCTGTATTCTCTCAAGTAAAAACAATATTTTCGATTGGATTTCCTTTACAAAACCAGTTGGTAGATGAATTTCATTCTCGTCGAAGTGATCATACAATATTTTATTTTGATTTATAACATCATAAATAATTGTTGCTTGATTACTTTTGCTCACTATAAAAGAAATCCCCCCCTATCATGGTGACAGCTGTATTATCTCAGTATGTTAAAGTTAGTAAACTCTTCATACGTATGAGAAAAATTTCAGAATGTAAGTCAGATTCACAGTTTCAGCTTATTCATTTATAAGGGATATTTTATTATAAAAGCAAGTTGATCAGGGGGAGAAAATTTTCATTTCCTAAGTGACATTTCGAGTGGGGAAAATGCGCACATGTACAAGGAAGGCTCCGTTCCCTGATAAATGTCTTAACGTTTTGAAGGTTTCAGTACGGAAGGCTTACTCTCGTGAGAATGGTTATATGGAATGACAGAGATAATTTAAAAAACATATTTTTCAATCTTTGAATAATATTAACAATTGTTAAAAATTTAAGTCAGATATTTATTTTCCATTACAGATGTAGAAATTGAAATTAGAAATGCTATATGCTATATATCATATTTCCTTCTCTTGCCGTGAAAGGAAAAAAATTATTTGTATGATTAACGTAAACTTCTAAAATATTAAAATTTGATGCTATTAGAATTCACAATCTTTAATAAGTTCCATAGAAAATGGATATCAGATGTAAGTAGATATAAATGCTACATTGACCAAAAAAGCTCTTAACTGAGAACAAAAAATACAAAAAAAAAAAAAAAAAAAAAAAAAAAAAAAGCAATGCATGTATTAAAGATTTTTTTAATTTTTATAAGAAATTATCAATTATACATGTTTCATAGGTATAATATATATTACTATTCATAACGTAAACAAAGATTTACGCCCCATTTTTTTCTTTACACAAATAGTAAATGACAGTGTTTAATAACTTAAATCATTTCATATAAGCAAATTTATTTTACTAATTTATAGAAATTAAACTGCTTGTAGAATTAAAAATATTAATCTCACCCATATAAAGTTTAGATATGTCACAATACAAAATACATGGAAAAAACAACATCTAAATTAAAATTCGATAGTTCTGCAAATTAACGCAACTAACGCAACTTAACTAAGAACTGAAAATAAAAATTTCAGATTTCAACTAAAATCTTAATTTGTAAAATTTTAATTTTCAGCTAAAATCTAAAAATAGGTTGCAAAAATAGTAAATTATTTCTAGCTTTCTAAAACATGAGATAACTGTTTTTACCATTGCCAAATTAACCGATTGCAGTTTCGCTGTACTTGTGCACCTACTTAGTATAAATACTCTTCGCAAGCATCTAAGTCATGCCTTTTTCCTGACTTCTGCCATGCAAACAACTCTACGCCGCTTATGCTTTCCTGTCTAGGATGCTTACATCGTACTTTTAAAACCAGTGTGCATAAAAATTGTTGTATTCAACTGTGATTGAAAAGTAATTTGCCTGTCAAAGAAATGATTCGATATGTATAAAAATAAAGATAAGCTTCAGTTTTGTTAGCTTTGTCTATATGCCTTTGCACTCAGCCATGTCTACAGCTAGAAGTTAAAAGTACCGGATTTCTCCTACGCATTAAAATATTACACACACACACACACACACATATATAATATATATATACGAATACATAGCCATTCCATTGGCCAATTTACAGAAAATGTCTGCTGATCTTGTCCTCCAATCGACATGTGATTGCGTCTAATTGGTGGATATTTCGAAACAGTATAATGTAATTTTCATTCGCTAAAACATTTTGGAAAACTCTGTTGTGATTTTCAATTATTTTTCTTTGATTTACAGATGTACTATCTACAGCGCCATCTCTCTGAATATTTTTAACTAAACCCAAGAACTCAGGAATAAACAATTTATTCCCTGTCACATTATTTGCTGCAAGAATTGTTGTTTTTTAAACTTAACCGTTTTCCTGTTATAAATTTTTCATTATTATTCCCTGTCAATTATGTCTGCCTTCATTTATTATTAAATGTCTGCCTTCATTTATTTATTCCCTGTCACATTATTTGCTGCAAGAATTGTTGTTTTTTAAACTTAACCGTTTTCCTGTTATAAATTTTTGGAAAACGTTAGTCTATTTTAGGGCGTCCGGTATATAATCAATGATATTTTCATTGTGTGTCATGGATGTTATGCTTATACAAAATTTTACACACCTGCTGAGGTGTTAATATGAGCATCTCTTTCATCCTTTTGGATCTCTAGCTTGAATACGGCAATCGTGAGCACCAGAGGAATGAGAGACCAATACAACGGCCGCCGAAACCATCCAAACGTCTGAAGTCTAAGAGATAAAGATTTTGTTTTATTTAGTTCATTATGGAAAGACACACGAGGGCTATCTGCCTAAGAGAAGGGATGTTTAATTGGAGGGCTTTCTAACAGAAACTCGCTCGTACCAATGTTACTCAAGGGGAAACCCAAGATAACGCTCATCTGACCAGCCTATTCGCTGGGATTCGAACCCACGTCCAGCGCCCAGTGTTCTGGGACTTTACGGCTGGGACACCCTGTGACATAAAGAGCAAGCCTTGAAACATATGTATGAAATCACCTCAAAGCTATGATAGCGTGTTAGTCATTCGATCAGTATGAAGAGGTGATAATACTTCCTAGCATATGTAAGCGTAATGCCACACAGGATTCTAGACGGTATGCCCAGAGTTTTATATTCGTTCCACATCCAGCTGGTCCAGCCATTTCCACACAGTTCATCGCCTTAAGACACACCCTCGTTTGGGTAGAGTTCCTGACATTAATCTATATTAATCCCTACGATTTCGTTCTTCATCCCTGATCAGGCCTTTCATTCCCAATGCATATCCCTTGGTAGATAACACAGAATCATTCGAATACTCAAAAGTCTAGGAAAAGTCCAACTAAATCGAGGATGTTATTAGCTATCTGTGTCATAATACTAAGTACTTGCCAGCATGGTATAAATAAGTCTTCTTAATGCTTCTGGTGATATAAAATTCCTTCGGTAAATGTTGTGGGATTATAACACTCTATGTCGCAGTCTAAGTGTAATGAAAGAGATATTTGTAGTAGACACTCGTATGCCCAGCAATTTGGATCAGAATTTCTAGCTCTCTTCAACATTTCTTGGCAAGTAAAGCTAGCATTACACTCACTATCTAGCAGGCTTGGACATTTGTATATTTGAATAGCTCTTGAGCCTTGGAATATGCCTTTAAATCTGAGCAAAAAGGGGATGGTTGAAATATTCAAACAAGAGAGAAAGTTTTGGAACAAGCATGTACAATAGGAATATAATCAGATATGAGAACTTTCTAAAATATGTTTTTGTAAAACGAATTGTGTTCTGTGATCGATTTATATCCGACGATGTGTGAATGGTAATTACTACGCGTTAGGGAAGTAATTGCCAATTATGACGGATGTTGATTCATAGCATCTTGATTACACTGTACAACTTTGTAATTGAACGTTTTCTTCTATACCACTACTTCGACGGGTATGCTTATAATTTTCCACTAGAGGTCAGTGCAATGGCTGTCTTTCAAAGAAAACTTAACTGACGGTATGGAGAGGGCACCGATTGTGTAAACTGAATTTTCATAGCGAAATAAAAGTAGTGTGTATCGAAGACCCTGTTTATTTACAAATTATCACAGTAGAAAAATCTTTACATCTTTCGTAGGCAATGTTTTACGTTTCATCATTACCTTTAAAAGTTTAAAATCCGTATTAAAAATTATAAGGCATTTCTCCCGCCTTCTTAGCATGTCTTTGTGGTGTAATGGCCAGCAATATCGCCGCGTGTTCGGGAGGTCCGTGGTTCAAGTCCTGGCGAAGGCATTGCTCATTTTTTATCTCTTCTGCTTTCAAAAAGTACCTAATGACTCTACAATGGCACCCGAACTAAAAAAAAAGATGGTGGATGATGATTGTCCGCTCCCAGGATTTGGCGATTGGGGTCTCCTAATCCCCAGTCGCGCTTTAAAAGGGGAAGTATATAAGCTATTTCTCTCGCCTTCTTAGCACACTTTCGTGGCCAGCACACTCGGCGCGTATTCAAGAGGTCCGAGGTTCAAGTCCTAGTGAGGGCATTGCTCAGTTTTCACTTCTTCTGCTTATCTAAAATAACGTAATGTCTCTACAAAATGTGCAAGAAAGCAATTAATTAATAATAAAATCAGTAGTAAAATTTCTATTTTTGTGACGTAATAAAAGCGCTATGCCGCTTAACAAATTTGTTTTTTTTTTTTCATGTTATTTTTTAGATCTACAAACGAAATTAGAAAAATTGAATTTATCATCTCAAATTGATTTTGATGCCAGTGATGATGAAGATCTGGACATATCGCCACTTGAATCTCCTCAGGGTGAGCCTGGACCAAGTAAAATCATTGATAGGGATAGTGTTGGCTCTCATACGAAAAGCGAAGAACGATCTTCAGCAACCAGAAATGGACGTCCTCCATTAGTAAGTAGCTTTATTCTCATTTTCTTAAACCACGTTTTCTAATTTAGAATTTCCTTTGTTCAAGAAACTTGGTAGTTAAAATTCAATCAACAAATACATTTGCACAGGAGTTTTCCTTCATTTGCCAAAGATTATTCACATTATTACTTACATTTCCATCAATTAAGATATTTTTATGTATAAAGAATAGGAAACGGGTATCTGTGTTTGTCTAAACGTCTCACATTTCCATGTCTATTTTGTGTCTACCGATAAACTGACTTTACCTTATTTTGCACCCTTTTTCTGATCCATAATAACATTAAGTACGAGTACTTTTATAGTCATCTAATAGTGTCCAAACTCTTAGTAGACGTTAAGCAAATTATCGCTAAGTCTAAAATAACAACTGAAACTTGTGAAGGGTGTAAAAGACCCTTTTATTTAAAACTAAAGAAAAACATAAGTCATACCTGGTACCTAAAAGTTCAGCCAACACTTATCGCGAAATGACTGAAAACAAAGTAAGTTCAAATGTAAAGTTAAATTTAAATCAATTTAACGCGAAGTTGGCTCACTTCTCTAATCGAAGTGCAGTTTTAGTATCGGAAATTATAATGCAAGTCCGAAGACTACAAATCTTATCTTGATCTAACAACATAGTAATTTAGCCTCCAGAGGCAAAACACGTTGTGTCTTGCATTCTAAAACCTCACCTTAAATACACGTGAACTAATTCGTATTCTGGAGGTAAAATGACAATAAATATTCAAAAGACAAAATAACTGGTTAATGAACATAAATAAACCTTACAGAGTTCTTACCAAGGACTTTTAAAATGTACCTCTACATATTAATTAGACGGTGAAGTTATTGCCAAATACACGTGCCCGTATTCAGGGTACTGATCGTTGCGGATGCGTTAAGATCTGTTCTGTTATTATTCGCCATAGGATGGGTTTTCATGTAAGCATCATGCATTTTCTGTGCATGATTCTTTCACGTACGTTTTTGAAAACATAGATTCAGCTATGTAGCGGCGTGAATTTGAACTGATTAGATTTCAAGAGAATCTTTCAATCACCATTGGACATTTGAAGGAACAGTCAGGATTATCACACTGCAATTTCCAGTGCAATTGCTTAGAAGGTAATGTATTCTTTCTGGAGATGCTATAGAGTCTATTAGGCTTTCTAAAGTAGGAAACATTAAAAAGTCAGCGATACCTTCTCCGAGATTCAAACACTGTGCTCTCCAATTAGTAGGAGACGAGTTTCAAATTACACCTCGAAGTCACACAGGGGCGTAGCTAGAGGAGGGCAAGGGGGCATCTGTTCCCGGGCGAAGAATCCAAGGGGCGCCAAACTGATGTTACGACATTTTAGAATTAAATGTTTTCCATCCTTGGCAAGCAGTAGAGGCCGCGAAATCTTCAGTTGTCCCTGGGCGCTGAAAACCCTAGCTACGACTCTGAAGCCACACTGGGAGGAAGAACAAAGTTCCTTGTAATGTGAAGTTAACTTATGAGAGTGATGCTGAATTTAGAAAGCAGATATCACGTGGTATGTTCTTCTGCAGATTTTACAAATCTATGAGATTTGATTCAGTTGCAACTAAATTAGCCATTTCACAAATTTAAGTCGCCTAATAGAGCGTTTTTCAATCTTTTGTCAGCTCACCATAATGGTCCTCGAAACCTGCTCTTGTTTCCAAAAAAGACAAAACATGAAAATTCAAACAAACTGCTTGTATAGGTTCGTGATCCTCTCCACTGGGATGCGGAAAATAGCTTTCATTCAATATTATTGAATGAAAGAGAATAACTAACTGAACTCTCGAATGACACTGGACTTAAATGAAATTCCGAGCAGAAGGTACGGCTAATTTCTGGACCTCTTAAGCATTAGAAACGTAATATAGTGAGTGACCTGTACAATGGTGCTTTAAAAATTAAAATTCAATGTGCTTCTACGTATATATGTGAAAAAGGGTTTTACTCATTAACTAAAAAGAAAACAAAGTACCGAATTCTACTTGATGTGTTACCAATCTCAGGCTTTTGCTTACCAGCATACATCCACCAATATTTATTTAATTTTTATTTAAGAAAATAAATGTTATCCAAACTCTAACAATTTTGAAACATTAGAAACAAATACAAATTGTCTTCTGTTAACATAATTACTTAATACAAATATAAAATTATATTAATTTAAAAAATATAAACATACTGATCGTAATCTATGCTAAAAACTGTTTACCAAGAGGGCAAGATTAGGAGGTCAGCAAGACGTGATAACTTAGAAAAGTGGTCCCCACTTGAAAAAAAAAATTAAGAAACGCTGGTCTAATATTCTATATCCGACTAGGCCTCTGTTATAACAGAACAACTCAGCTCCTTCATTTTTAACTCGATCAAATACTGATGCTATTTACGATTTTCCACAGGTGTAGTCCTAGACAATTTAAGAGCGAAATTCATTCCGACAATAAAATTTTTGGATGGGCGGACCTACAGAAAGTTAGCTAGTCTTGCTGATTTTGTGGGTATACTCAGATATAAATCGAATATATTTCTTTTTGAAGTTATAGTCTTTCATCAGCAATAAATAATTGTCCTAATTCTTGGTGATCTGAAGATATCTAAGGTGTAATACACAATAAACAGTTTAATTTTTAAGTCTGGAATTTTTGATTATGGCAACGTTCACGAGGGTTAGCTGCCTAAAAAGAGAAATGCCTCTCACGGATTACTCTCTAAGGGAAACTGGCTCGTATCCACGTTACACATGAGGTAGATCACGAAATCACTCATGCAGTCATCACGTTCGTGCGAGCTCGAACCCAGGTAAAACTACCAGTGTTAAGCGACTTTACCGCTCTGCCGCTGATGGCCTTTTAAGTTTAAGAAATGAAAAAGATACTGTTATCTTTCAGAATCGTATTGTTTTGATCGCATGATTCCTTTACTAAGCTTAAATGTTTACACTGTCACCATAGGAAAATATTGTTCGCATAGCCGAATTAATCAAAAGCAAACGTACTCTATACTCGTACTGTCAAAATCACACAAGCTTTCAAAGTTTTGAAGGCCGTGTGCAAATACTGCTACATGCAATTAAGCATTTAACACTCATAAAGTCTAAAATATGTCTTCTACGCTAGAGAAGCATAAATACACTCTATCACAAAACAATATATGGACTGAAAAGAAAACGAACTACTATCATGAAACTTAACACCCATATAGTGTATGAAGAGATAAACAAATGATTACAAATTCAGAAGAAAAGGTACTTTTATTAACAAGTTATGGCATGAAAAATGATACAAATCAGTAAGTACTATAGCCACCTCTGGCAGCTATATAATCCAAAACATGGAGTGGCATCGAATCAAGTAGGTCGCCAATGACACCCTCCGGAAGATCATGCAATTGGGCAGTTAATTCACCAATATTCCGGGACGGCTGCAGTTGCCTTCCAAGCATGTCCCAAACATGCTGGGTTGGCTAGAGGTCTGGTGACCTGGCGGTCCTCGTAAGCACGTCATATCCTTGAAGACATTGTTGAGAGAGTAGCTCAGTATGTGGGCGAGCGTTGTCTTTGTGATAAATGGCACATGGCATTTATCAGTATACATAGGCAGTACAACCGAAGTTAAAATACCATCCACGTAACTGCGACCCGTGATAGTGCCTTGAAGTACGAATGGAGGTGATCGTGTGTCCCAATAAATCGCTCCCATACTGTCACACCTTGTGTAATCTCCGTATGCCGCTCGACAACAAATACCTGATTGGACCCTTGGCCTGGCCGCCTCCACACGCCTGTGTGAGATTCGCATGTGCCTCCACACGCATGCGACTCCACATGCATGTCGGAGCTTGGGGCTGCCGGGGCAGAGGAGGTACTTAGGATTAGAATGAAATTGGACACCCAGCAGAGAGGTTGGATACTTGCCATTACAAGAGCATTCAGAACCGTTTCTACTGAAGATGCTTGCGTCCTTGCGGGTGTTTCGCCCCTCTCGATTTTATACAAATTATACTACAAAAACTTTCTATTAACCAATAAAATTATTATAGATACTGAAATTGGACAAAAAGTACTCACAAGTAAGGCCTTTCAACAAGAGAATGAGGATATTATTCACCCAATCACACAATTTGAATTATTTTATGATCTTGAGTTTCCTTCTGGTGGCTAAATAGACGTTTTTACAGATGGTTCCAGAATTGATGGGGGGGGAGTGGGTAGCGCTGTGGTAATTTATTTTCATGGAGTGGAGATAGACAATGTGCGAATAAAACCTAAACCAATGAATTTGATTTATCAAGCAGAGCTATACGCATTGACAGAGTCCTTGAATTGGATTAATAAAAAATTAACAGTTCAATGTTTATAAACTTTTGTACTGATGCCCCTATCTGCGCTTCAGGCACTCGCCCAACCAGATCATAAAAATCGACTGATTAATGAAATAAAAGACTTGTTTAAAAAGACTGAAAGAAAACATATTGTTAAATTACACTGGGTAAAAGCACACAGCGGAATTATCGGAAATGAAAGAGCGAACACCCTTTCTAAAATGGCGGCACTTAGAGATGGGACCGATAATTTTGATATCCAAGATTAAAAAAAAAAAAGACCATTGCTAAAATAGAAAACTGGATTTATACAGAATGGAATTTTTGCTAAGACGACTCCCAGCAAAAATTCCGACGACTAATAAGTAAAAGAGTAAATGAAAAAATATAAAGTTAAACAAGAAGATGAATATTATAAATGATGTTGATATAAATTAGGTACTCCCGGTACATGGGCGTTTACCGGCTTATTTTAATCGGTTCCATCTACAGAATAATGATAACTGCTTAATTTGTGATAAGTTTGGGGACGCCAGGCACTTCGTCGATGAATGTACGCTTACCCGGAGTGCAAGAGAGGTGTTTGGTGTATTTAATTATGGCAAAGCACACGAGGGCTATCTGCCTACAGGGAGGGATGCCTTTCGTGGAG